AAGGACAGAGTTTGGCGCCAGCCAAACTCCTTCTCAGAAAAATCCAAGAAAGAAGGGGAAAAAACTATCCCCAATTTTATTTGCGACAGAACTTTCACCTGATCCTTTACATATATTCGAGTTCAATCTGTGCTTGAAGATTTTTCTTTCGCTATGTGAAGTATATAACGTACGCGTATTCCTGGAAGTTCGTTGGATCTTGTGAAGTGTGTACAAAGGGTAGCGAAACATGACATAAATACTTGATCACTGAAAAGGGAAAGATGAGAGCAATAGTTCGGAAACTTTCCCAATGAGCAATCGGATCTTCATTGTTCATCAATGGGGCCTTATCGTCATGCCATTTTCACTTGCATTGATCACAGCTGATCGCTTCACGATGAAGACAGGATAATAAAAATTACAGCAGTTGAGAGATGACGAGTCATGCAGATAAAATTTAAAAAGTCTCTCCCAGGTTTCCATTGACAGAATAATATGAGTTTTTCGCTAAAAGCTATCTCTTCTTCAAAGAGTAAGTTCGCATACCTGCTGAGGAATAATTTCGAAAATTAATTTCAAGCCAGAAAAATAAAATAGGTTCAACTCAAACTATATCTACATAATATAGAGGAATCAAACTTGAAAATCGTGACTGATGTCTCCAAAAAAATGTCAAATTTTTTCTGAAACAGTTACCTTGTGAGTATTCCATGACAGGAATGTTTGCGGTAATTTTCTTGAATCGAAGAGATACAAGATATTCCCCGATACCGAGAGAGAATAAAGCTTAAGATTAAAAATTCAATCTGAAAATCGAAGAAATCCACGCACTGAAACGTGAAATTTTAGCTGTTCACTGTATTATCTGGCGACATCTTGCGGAATAAATAAAAGAATCCCCTGCCCAAAAAGAAAAAGGGACGTTACATTCTTACATACACTGAGCATTTATTTATAGGTCCCATAATTCAAGCTTCCGGGGCAAGCGTTCTTTTCTTAGTTTCATTTCATTTCCAGCAATAGGAATAGCTGCCTATACAACCTCGATGGTCAAACAAATCGCATCAATGGAAATCGATTCTAGCCTTGAGGAGGTGACGAGGCAAACATTCTTTGACTTCTGACGCAAATGGGACCGTTGACAGCGTCTCCCATTCCTTTTGCAGTCCTTCTTTGGAATCGATCCCCTTTCATCCCTTCATGTCACGTCACAGCTTATTTCAAGCCGACGAAGAGATTACATTCGATACCGAGGCCGGATTAGCAGGGCTGCTGACAAACATTGTTCCCGCCGTCGTATATACCAAGGACGACAGGCAATTATTATTACGAAGTATTATTATATCGTAAAAAAAATCAGGGCTTGCAATCAAAAATATGTAAAAAAAATAATGACGAGTTTCAAAAAATAGTGACGAGTTTTATCCGTGAACGTTTGAAACTCGTCACTATTTTCACATCTTTTCGATTGCAAACCTGATCTTTTTTTTTTACGAAATAATAATAATTGCCTGTCGTCCTTCGTATATATACGACGGCAGGAACAATGTTTGTCAGCAGCCCTGCTAAATTCTTGAAATTTCTTCCCCTTATATAGAGCCCATGTGCTCCATAGGGGAAGAAATTAAAAAAAAAAAATCCTCGCGTAAAATACAACTATAAATGCATTCTCGTGAAATATTCCTCTGAAGTTCCTGACAGAAATACTGTTGAAGAAATGCTAAAAATCTTATGACAAAGGATCTTTCCAAAACTAGACTTTTGTCTCTATATAGCTAGCAGAAACCATGCTGGTGAAGAAAAAAGAACACGCATAAGAGAGAAAATTTTAATCAACAATTGCATCTACTCTGAAGCCAAATACGAACGCATGAAAACAAATTGAAGTTGGACCTTGTTTACTCAATCTTCCTTGTTTCGAAAAATCTCCCCATACATGTTGATTCTGCGTTTAATCCTTGTGTGATTTATCTCAGAAACAATGTAATATATAGACCTCCCTAAAACCCACAGACTTGCATCCCGAAACCTCGAAAACTCCAATTTCGGGAGTTGGGCTATTATTCCAACTTTTGTAAGGATACGGGAAAGAGAAAAGCAATTGAACGATGCATTTCGAAATGAAGTGAATGACTAGTTGGCAAATTTTACCTTTGCTTTCAAATTTAACATGTGACTGTAAAATAATCTAACCAACAATTTGAAGGCCTCAAAGAACATCAATTTTACGTTCCTGGTGTGAGGCTTGAAATTTTTTAAGCAAAACGCTGGTTTTCCTCAGCACTGGAAAACTCTCCAAGTTAATTTGTTTGTCTTTCTGAGTTGAAGACGTTCAACTGTACCAAGAACTAGATAGCAAGAGATCCACAGGCACAAGAGGCAGACTAAACATGCGGTACTGTATCAAAAGTTGGAAATATTATTTCTTCTGGAGTTAACTTTAACTTAAATTGTGCCATCAATCAACTATGAAACTCGAATGAAGCGACTGTAAAGTGAAATATGCATTTGTAATCTTTCTTGTTGAGTGGAAAAGTGCATTATTCAGGTCATATAGGAGCAGTCATGTTTTGTCTGTTTAGTTCAGTTTTGTTTATGAAGAAAGTGAAACCCCCAGATGTGGACGTAATTGGTGCATCAAGATTGTTCTAAGTTGAACTGCCCCTAAGTCAAGTCTTGTTTTCTCTTAGACTCACATTATATAATTATTGATTGGTGTTTTGTGGAAGAAATATTCTTCAGAATTCCATGAAGAAAATTGTTTGCCTCTTGAATTTGATTTAGTGAATATATTTTAAACTCGATAGGAACATTTGGATCATTGAATAGTGCATCTCTGTAATTTACATTGAAATTTTGGCATCTACAAAAAGTACATTCATCACAAAAACAGAAAAGTCCCTTTATGCAATTGGTAATTTTTTAAATTAGATGAATGAATGGGAAAATTATGGGAGAAATGGCAAAGAATTTTTCTTGCATAAATTTATGGTTGGATATACTGTATCTGTTTCTTACAATCAAGCCAAATAAAAGGCAATTTTTGTGAAATTTATTGGCAATTTTATCATGTAATGTCCTCATGTGGAGTCAGTGTGTGTATGTTGGGCCTTTTTTATGCCCTTTTTATTGAAAAATGAATGTCACTATGTCAAATTGTCCTCATGTTGAGGTGTCCGCATGTGTGGGTCTCACTATTGTCAGGTACACCGTACTTAAAAATATAAAATAATTGGATTCTCTTGAATAATTAACTCTAGATGAGAATATTTCCGGTTTCTGACCATTAACCTGTAATATTTCTTGAATAAGTTTGATTGAATTTATTCAAGTGCTTGTTGAATAAGCTCAAATAATTCTAAGAAGCTTTTTTATATATTTTGAATCGTCAGAACTTCCGAAAAATGGTTGTACTGTAATCATGATTTAAATTTACTATAAGCATTGGGTTTGTCGGCTGATATTTTTCTACAAAATGGGGTTGCTGGCTCTTGAATGTTGTCAGAATGTCATTGTTTTTTTCTGTAAATTGTTCTCCGGTTGAGATAATCTACTGCCCCCCCCCCCGTTTTTTGTGTGAAGAAAATATCATGCTTAATGCGAATCCGGTTCAATTTTTCACGATAAACTGATGCGACGTTGGCATGGTTGAATTAAACAAATATCCATCAACATGAAAGCCTCCACGAAGAGCTGCCTTTGCTTTTTTTTATGTTGGAAAATGTAACCTCCAGGACTTACAGAGTAAAAAGAGTGAGAAGAGAGAGAAAAAACCATGGTTGAAACGAGGCGAATGTCGCGTGCATTCGGGGAAATCAAGATCGAATCGCAGGGAAACAAAAACCTTCCACCAGATTTCCATGGACCTCCGCGGACCCGGGCGAGAAACTTTATATATATACGTACCTGTGATGCTGGCACTGAAGCTTCTCAGAGGAAGGAAATGTTGGAGAATAATGCCACCAGACGCAATAGAGGAAAAACTCTCCTCGGGGACCCAGAGAAAAGCAGGAGAAAAACGCTCGTTTTCCCGGGGCCCAGTAGCATCTTCGTCGCATTCAAATGTCGGAATCGATTTGCATCTCGGAGAAAGAAAGAAAAAAAAAAGCAAAACAACGACGCTCTATTTCACAAAGGCCTGCAGTGATTTTCAGTCCGCCCCCTTTTTCTCTTTCCTCGAGAGAGAGGAAAAAAACGCAGAAGAATAGGAGCGAGATTCATCAAATTATTCTCACCGAGGAGGAATTGAGAAGAATAAATGAGGTTTTTTTTTTTTTTTGCTCTGAAATCGTCAAACCTGTATTTTATTTCTTCATCCCATCCTCAGCACACACAAACAAAAACTTTCTTCGCCTTCGTTCTCCGCAAGTTCATAATTTTTTTTTGCACGTCTCGATCCTGCTGCTAAAACAAAGGGTTTTCACGCGACGCGCCTTTTTCCTTCGGAGAGAAAAAACAAGAACTTGTCACACACAACTCACATTCTTTCTCAACAAAAAACACACAAATATTCCAAGACCGCATAAAAACAAACATTTTGCGGACGAAAAAAATACGTAGACCCAAATTTTCTTTTTTCTAGTTTGCGAGACCTTTTTTTTGTTGAGAGTCAGTAAAGCTCGACTTGAAACTTTGCAATTTTGCTCGGGTTGAGAAACCTGTCTCGCAGATGTTGTCTTATTTTTCTTTGTTTCTTTCTGTGTTTTTTTTCACACATTTTCAGCAAGATGTTGGGACAGCTTTCGTTGCACGGGTTTTCTTTTCGCTCTTCAATTCATATTTTCTGGTAGAAAAAAAAAACGACCTGGCGATAATCAATGGAAACTTGCTCAACACCAGCCAGGTGACTTCTTGCCCTTTCTTAAAATATACACTTCTCAAAACAAATTTCCGAGGAATGTTACACATACACTCTTTGAAAAAAAAGAAACGATTTTTTCTTTTTGCGTCGACGTCTCGAGATCGAATTCTCTGGTTTCAATGAACACCCTTCGACTAGCAGGACTTGAAACCAAGTCACCTATTTGACCGGGTTACGAGATCCTTTTCCTCTTCCGAAATTCTCAGCTGTCAAATGAAAATCATTCAATACTCAGGCATCACAGATTTGCAGGAACCAAGGAAAACTTGAGGCGCTGCTCAAGAGATAATCAGCTTTGAAAGGAATGTAAAACACAGATTGAAAAAAAAAGAAAGCTATAAAAAATTCGATGAAATCTGCATCGCGTCCCGGAAACGGAATTCGACCCTGCTTTCATGAGCTTGAAAAGGTTTTCGTTCGGGTCTCCGTTTTTCTCTCCTTTTTGTTTCCCTTTTCAGTGCAACCTCGACGTCATCAGCAGTGGAATCATCATCATCATCGTCATCATCATCAACAACATCATCAAAGCAACTGCCAACTTTCGAAACGACACGATCGACAGTGTCGAAGAAGATGCCAAGCTGTTAGTCGACACCGCCGGCGAGTGCTCGCCAGAATGCGACAATGACGAGCTGCAAGACGGCTGACGACAGCAGTGACGATCGGAATTCGTGGCTCGAATCAGCTATTTGTTGCACTGCACTCGTGCGATCTGAAAGTATGAATGAAAAATGAACATCACCGTCACGTCACGAGATTTCTTGCCAATCGTGAAGAATAGTAGAAAACAAAGTATCTTTTCCATCGAACGACAAGAGAATTCTTTTTTTTTCAGCTCCAAAAAATCAGCTGAAAATCTCTGCATAAATCCACGAAATTCAGATGAAGCTCCTCTTTTCAAAATGCGGTCTAGGTTTGAGTTTCATCGTTTTTCAGCACAATTCAATTCCTTCCGGAGAATCCAATTATTCTATTTCATCATTTCGTATTTGGAAAGATATCCTTTCCATAGAATAGGCATGCATATGTAATTTTCTTTTGAATCATTTCTTTTCCCTGGAAAGAAGGAACACAGCTGTTACGAAATTATTCTGTCCATTGATACTCCCAGAAATCTGTTTGTTCTTGAAAATTTAAGCAGGGTGTTCGGGAAACCTTTTGATCGGGAAAGAGGTTTATACAGTATTACTTTCTTATAGAGGCACTGTGTTGCAGTGAAAATTTCCAGGAAATCGTAAGAGATCATTCACATATGACCTATGTATTTGGCAAAATGTAATATTTACAACGGTGACTACGTTTTATACTCCTATATCTTGTAAACTTGCAAAATTAAGATCTGCACAGTGATGCAGAATTCAAGAAACATGCTCAAGGTAGGAAATTACTCGAAAAATGTATTGCAATCACCTAATCATTAATTTTTTTTAGTACTGTACTGTACAGTAATCTGTAAAAAATAAGTGAATAATCGGCAAGCGGAAATCATACTCAATTGAGGATGTTTGAGTGGAAGAAAATATCAGTTTGAACCTGATGAATTTTTTATCATCTTCATGATTCTTTGTCCATTTTTTGGGTTAATATATATATTTTTAGACTCGTAATACAGATACGACCTGAACGACTCATTATGGATGACAGACCTAATTTGCTACGTGAACTAATACTGTATATCACCCAATCTTTCTTGGTGAAACCTGGATAAGAGTTGTCAAATACATTTCAAATACATCTGAATTCCGTCAGATGTAAAAATTATGCGTTTTTCACACAGAAAAAGAAGACGGACACATTTCCTAAAATTGGTTCCTCTAAATCTCCATCAGTGGAGCCAAGTTAAAACGAATAATTCATGACACATCTTGCAAAACGTTCCTTGAAAATGAAATTTCAAAAGCACAGGATTGATTCCATCGAAAACGAGTATTTTTTGCTGATACAACTGTTTTTTTCCAACTTTTTTAAAGCTCGTTCAGCGTCAATATACTGTTGCTAATTTTAAAACATTTGATGCATTCCTGTACAGCGAAATGGCGAATTACAGTCCAGACGAGTGTATACACAATAAATGCAAGGGGTCTAACAAAAGTTTTTGGGATATAAATTAAAATGGCGTATATTTGAGCTGAAAGAAGTTATCGTTTATGGACCTTCACAGCCGCCACATTAGTGAGTGTTGATGAAATTGGCGGAATTACCTTGGAGGACATGGATGGCAACTCTTTGGAATTAATGCCACGCTGATTTCAAGAATTCTTATGGGATCAAAAGCTGGGCTACAACAACAAAATCTGCAGGAAGGGCGCCTCTTCTTTTGAGTGGAGAGCAAAACTCTACCAGAGGGTGAATTTTGCAAAACATTCAAAAAATGTGTCAAACAGGGCTGATTTTTTTCTATTGCCAAATAATATGTTTTCCCTATAGCATAACTTTTTCAGCTCAATTATACGCCATTTTAATTAATTTTGTTAGAGAAATTTTGTTAGAACCCTATAGTGAATCGAGGCGCTCGTTGTTCTCATCGCAGTCTATTATTGAGGAGTCAAGTGAAGTCGTCATTACTTCTCAAATCTTTAAAAAAAAAAAGCAGCTTGTGCATGGTTTTCTAGGCCAGTCTTCGTGTGCACAAAAAACAAAAAAAATTGAGCAAAGAAACAATGCTCTTTAATTTACTGCCGACAATTCCGACAACACACTAAAACTAAAACTGCCCTGTTTTTGGGAAAAACATGTTGGGAAAAACATGTTGAAAAGTCCAAAAAACAGCACTCTCGAAAAATTCGTCACCAGCTGCCAACATCTGGCATTTTCGTACAGAGTTCAAAAACCTTGTCCATACCTGGGGGAAAATCGCGCCAAAACATGAGTGAGAATTGCATAAAACCCCTGCACATTTTGTGCAAGTCAGTCAGTCGAATCCTGAGAGTCTCTGAGCTAATTTTGCGGACGCAAATTCGGAATTTTCGGACTTAACTAAAATTTGAGAAAATCTTTGGACTCTGAGAAAACTTTGGGACGCATTTGCGGACTTAGGAAATATCTGAAAAAGAACTCTGAGGAAATTCGGGAATTCTCCTCAAGTCCCATCACTGTCCTTTGTTTATTTCATCTGTACCCTGTTTCTCTGAGTGTTGAGACCCTGCTTTATTTTTTCCATCACTGGAAATATTTAGACCAAAAAGATTCCCCAAAATCTGACCTGAGATCCTTCTCTCTTTATTTTTTCCATCACTGGAAAACTTGTTGTATCAAAGACTTTGAGAATACTTACCATAATTTGTGACTGAGTGTGTGTGTATGTGAAACCGTTTACTGTTTATTGTGTACTGTGTCTTTTGTGCCATTTTTAATACCCTGTACTGTTTGTTCTGAAAAGAAAGGTCTGCGCTAGTAGGGAGAAATCCCGGTTGGTTCGCGCCCGACCAATTACCGTGTTTTATTCAATTGATCTAAATTTTATCTCTTGAGACTCTGCCGTAAATTCAATAAGAAATTCAAGGTGTAAGGCTTGATAAAATTCATCCCAGAAGTAAAACCTTACAGAGGATGTTTGAGTGGAAGAAAATATCAGTTTGAACCTGATGAATTTTTGATCATCTTCATGATTCTTTGTCCATTTTTTGGGTTAATATATTTATTTTTAGACTCGTAATACAGATACGACCTGAACGACTGATTATGGATGACAGACCTAATTTGCTGCGTGAACTAATACTGTATATCACCCAATCTTTTTTGCTGAAACCTAGATAAGAGTTGTCAAATGAATTTCAAATACATCTGAATTCTGTCAGATGTAAAAATTATGCGTTTTTTCACACAGAAAAAGAAGACGGACACATGTCCAAAAATTGGTTCCTCTAAATCTCCATCAGTGGAGCCAAGTTAAAACGAATAATTCATGACACATCTTGCAAAACGTTCCTTGAAAATGAAATTTCAAAAGCACAGGATTGATTCCATGGAAAACTAGTATTTTTTAGACAACTGTTTTTTTCAACTTTTTTAAAGCTCGTTCAGCGTCAATATACTGTTGCTAATATTAAAACATTTGATGACATTCCTGTATAGCGAAATGGCGAATTACAGTCCAGACGAGTGTATATACAATAAATACAAGGGGTCTAACAAAAGTTCTCGGGATATAAATTAAAATGGCGTATAATTGAGCTGAAAAAAGTTATTGTTTATAGGGACCTTCACAGCCACCACATTGGCGGCTGTTGAAAATGGCGGAATTACCTTGGAGGACCTGGTGGCAACTCTTTGGAATTAATATCACATTGATTTCAAAAATTCTGAGGGGAAAGCTGGGCTAGAACAACAAAATCTGCAGGAAGGTCATCTGTTTGAGTAAAGAGCAAAACTCTGCCAGGGTGAATTTTGCAAAAAATTCAAAAATTTGTCAAACAGGGATGATTTTTTTCTTGTGCCAAAGAATATGTTTTCCCTAAAGAATAGTTTTTTTTAGCTTAATTATACGCCATTTAAATTTCTATTCCAAGAACTTTCGTTAGAACCCTATAGTGAATCGAGGCGCTCGTTGTTCTCATCGCAGTCTATTATTGAGGAGTCAAGTAAAGTCGTCATTACTTCTCAAATCTTGAAAAAAAAGCAGCTTGTGCATGGTTTTCTAGGCCAGTCTTCGTGTGCACAAAAAAAAAATTGAGCAAAGAAACAATGCTCCGACGACGAAACGTGCTGAAGACTGATCGCCCAGCGGGGAAATGAATCGCGGTGCTGCGATACATGGAATAATGTAAGGCAGTGCACACACAAGCGGCGGAAATCAGCGCCGGGTTATCCGAGGTCGGCTTGCATTCATCACCGTATCTGTGACAGCCCATTTTCCGCTTCCCGGCGCCTCATTATTTCCTTCTTCTAACCTCCCCCCCCCCCCCCCCCCCCTGACAACCCGTTTTCTGCTGCTGGTGGCCATACTCTGCAAACACTATATACCAACAGTAAAAATGAGAAAGTCACTGAAATAAAAGTCAATCGAGCTGAAGAGCAGCTGCCCCCAGTGTTTCTGTATTGGAAACTGTGCAGGATCATGAAGAAATATTCATGACAATAATAGGTGTACTCGCTTATTTATAACTAACTTTTCGATGGCGATATTCTCCGCATGAAGAATTGTTTTCCATTCCCATAGGGTTCTCGTCTCCCCACGCTATTATAGGGGTCTTTACAACGGAATTCGAGGGACCAGAAGAAAAAAAAATCGTTGTAGAGAGAATTTCTCTCCCCACATTATAGGATCTCTTCGACGAAATTCAAGGGACCAGGAGGCAAAAAAATCGTTGTAGAGAGAATTTATTTGTAGAGACCCCTGTAACCTGGGGAGAGAACCCTATATGGGACTGGAGAACAATTGTTGTGGGAGATTGTCTATACAACGAAATTCAAGGGACCAGAAGAACAAAAATCGTTGTAGAGAGAATTTCGTTTTAGAGACCACTATAACGTAGGGTGAGAACCCTGTATGGAACTGAAAATTGAATGGACAAAAAAAATCTTTGTAGAGAGAATTTCGATGTAGAGATGAGAGACCCCTATGAAACAGGAAGAGAACTCCATGGGACTGGGAGCATTTTTTATATGAATAATATCGTTGTTAATATGATATTGTAAACTATGTAGAGATTTTCGCTGCTAACATCGATTTTATGAACAACGCTTTTTTTCTGGTCCCTTGAATTTCGTCTC